AAGATGTTGAAGTTAAAAATAATTCTGTACAATCTGTGATAATATTTCCATGTGTAATTAGTATTTAAAAATAGAGCAGTCGGTTAAGATATTTAACTATTTCATATATTTATATATATATATATATAAATATATATTTAAGAAACATTAATGTTTCTTCATCATCCAGGCATATGCATAGTAGTAAAATGTTGATCAAATTAATTCCTTAAGATTTATCTATCGAGACAAATCTGAATGTTTTCAAAATCATATATAATTATATGGAATCCTTAACAATCACTAATCTGAATATGGCTAAGAGCCATAGGTTGTCTGTTAATAAACTCCTTCTGCCATTTCTTAAGTCAAGTAGAATATGAATTGGTTTTGCTTAACTGGTATTAATTAGCACTCAGTGGACGTTTTCATAGTTATATGGAGTGCCATCACCTGATACTTTTTCTTAATGCTTTCTACTCTAGCACAGAAATGGAAAGTTAAAAAAAAAAAGTTTCAAATTAATTTAACGAATACAGAATTTCACAGCAATTAGCAGATACTTTCAAAATATTTATGCTTTCAGGAGCATTTATGTCTTCACTGGTGACTGTTTTTGTGTATCATTTACACTCGTGAGTTCTTTTTAAAACTTTCTGTTCAATAAAACCCAATACTAAGCATTGCCAGAAAGACCAGAAGGTAGCATCTATTTGGACACCAGAAGTGGTAGAGCATTTTCCATCAAGTATTTATTGCAAAAACGTGGTTTCCACAAAATGTATAATAATAATAATAACAACAATAAATTACTTGACAATGTGTTAGTTCCATTACATTTCTCTCCAAAACCACTTTGCTCTAATTAACTGAGTTGCAATTCCTGAGTTATAGATCATCAGGGATGAAACCTGGCTATGTGCTGAATGTCAGCTACTCAGTTCCACGGGACAATTACTGCATGACAGTCACATAAGAACCTCAAACCTGAATGCAGTTTACTACTTAGACATATAAGAATGCTTTGTTGTGACCTTAAATATTGAAAACAAACATCCATTGAGGAATGATTTTCATCATACTTCATCGGTGAAAAGCTGTGGCATAAATCATAGTCTCAGTCTGGGTTTAAAAGAACATCAAAATACTGAAAGTAAGCAAACCCTCTAAGTCCACATCCACAAATCTTGCCAGCACCCTGACTTCTCCCTCCACGTTCAGAATATCCTCCTGACAAAATCTAATTCTTTGCAAATTTTGGCAGCCCTATTTTTGCCTTTCATTCCATATGATTATTACTTCCCAGCTGATATGAGACTTTTCCCAAGAAGCCTAACATCTTTTAAGACCTTAAAAAAAGTTTGGTGGATTGTTTCCAATTTATCCAAAGACTGCCAATTTTCATAAAGGCTAATTTTAGGTATGGGAGTCAATCCAAATTCACTCACTGGAGAATTGAGTGCATATCTACAATGAACACAACTTCAGGAAGAAAAATGATATCATTCACTCCACACCGATGTAGTTATTAGAACCTCTCTGGGAATTAATTTCGCTAGCATCCTGGAACCTACAACCCTTTGCATGGCTGGATTGGAAAACCCAGACACTGATATATTTTAACCTTACAAAGACCAACTTTAAAAAAAAATGATTTGAGAAAGCCATTTTCTTCTACTTTTCAATAACTAAAACTTTATTCAAACTACTACAATATAAAAAGTAAGCCTACCCACTTAGGAGGGACTACAAAAAAAAAAAAAAAGTAGAAATATATTTAGAAAAAGAAAATGGTTAAACTAAGTAAAAATTCTCCTTTAAATTTGACCAATTACCAGTCAGTAAAAGTAAAAAACTCTGAGTACTTTAACTAATAAAGAATGTACCAATTAAATATACACAAAAAAAAAAAAAAAATAAAAATAAAAAAGAGCTCATCAGTATATTCAGAGAGGAAAAGAACTGCTGCCATCTCATTTAGCAAGCACAAGGGCACATCCTCAGCCTTTTATAATTACACGTCACTCAGCGAGACTGTGCACATCCCAGCTTGTTCTTCTGTGACAGCAGTAAACATGGTTTGATGAAAACTGCTAATTTAGAAATTAGGCACCAAAAATAGAATGTTAATCTGCCACTCCAGTAAGTATGACAACATAAGGGATAGATTAATCTGAACTTTCCTACAGCAGACAATCTGGTCTCAACAAGGGGTGTGCGACAGGCAGGTTATGGATGATGATATTAATGAACCACTATTTCACCATGTAGTTCTAGTAACATCCTTCATTTCTATTCTGTTTAAACCAACTTAAGTAAAAGTAACAAAAAAATCCATTCAATCTGTCTGAGGCATTTAAATTGAATATTTCTCCTTTAGTGCAAATCTATTTCCTATCTCTCCTGAAATTCAGTGATAGCTAATACTATCATTAGTGATAATGTAACTTTGTATGGCACTTTGTATTGCTCTACCTCAGCAACAGAAAGAAAAAATAAATAAATACTGCCCTTTCATTAAAAAGATTTAATGCTGGAAGAGAGCTGCAATTTTGGACTTTGGCATTGCAATGATTTTGACAGGAGTCAGCTCCCTCCTATGGACAGGGCTGCATGAAGAATTGCCCTTCTGCTGTATTGGAGCCTTACTGCAGTAATTCCAGACAACAAAGAGACAGGAACAGAGTGTGGAGTGACGTTAAAGGTCAAACCCCTTTAACGAGGCTGCAAAAGTAAATCCGGGGAGAAAAGAGTAAGGTCAGCTGAGAGGATTGATGACTGAGGAGTGGAAGCTAGGTAAGAAAAACAAAATACATATGTCACTCAAACAACAGCATGTGTAGTTGATGAATGGAGAATGGGAGGTCACTCCATGGGAGGGAACACTGGTAAAAGTGGAACTAAGGTGAGAGTGGAAGGACATAAAGAGAGCTATGAAGCAGAGACCTCCCTCCCTCCTGCCAACTACCTAGAGGTGGACTGCATAATAAAAAGTTTTAAGTCATACAAGGACTCACCTGAGCAAAAGGAACACTATCGATCTTGTACTGCAACATGCCAAATGACACACAGACAGCAGTGTGTACATACCTTCTTTTGGTAAAACTGAGAACACCCTCCTATAACAAGCAATCACTAACATATAAACTATATAAATTCTATTACTGAATTAATATAAAACTAGTTAACATTGGAGGTACTAGTATTTAAAAGTAAATACTTCCTTTCATGTTATTAATATAACATTGTATATAGTGTATATATATAAATTTACGTATCTGTGTCTTTATGTGTTATATATATGCATATAAAATACATAACAATGAGGAGTATTTCCAAGTGATGACAGTATTATCATATTGCTCTCCTGATTCCTGAGGAAGCACAGAAAAGCACTCTTCCTCATCACCTGAGGATTAATAGTTCTCCTCTTACTCCTCTGTGGCTTCATGTTGTTTCTTCTCTATAGCATGGTAAGGTTGCGAAGCAGTGATTCTTTGTGATATCTGAAAGATAGATTTCTAAGACACACAGAAAATTGATTCTCAAGAAGATGTATTCATATAACACAGGTGACAATATCTCATTTCAGTATACCCTGAGCCACAAACCACAACAACTGCAGATATCCGAAACAGGGATGAAACCCCATCTACTTTTATCCCTCTAGCATAGCCAAACATACTTATAAATGTTAGAACAGAATTAATTGCAACCCAATGCTATACATAGTGTTTTTCTTCCAATCTCTCTGCAAGTTTAGCCTAAATTCAATATGTTTCTACTGTAGGCTATGTTTACTGAAATAAAGCTACATTCAACTATGGGCAACCTGTCTTTGAACATATGCTGTAGGCAGCAATCTAGCAGAGAAATGGGCAACAAGCTGTGAGACTAAACTTTTATCATCGTCTCTATAAATCAAGATGAAAGCTGTAGACTTCCTCCTGTGGACCTCATACTGCCTTGAGGAAAAAAAAAAGTTAAAATATTTAGATTGAAAGAACCAAATAATATAAAGAGAAAAAGGATTGAAAACTAAAATTAGTGGAAGCATTTGTCCAGTAATAAGTGCAGATCCAGTTGCCAAGAATGACTACTTTTATTTCTTTTTAAAAGATATACTTGACAGCAATGACTAATTAGTAAGATTAATGATGGCTGTTCCATCCAGAAGTGTTTTTTCTTCAGTTCCATTCATGTTGCTAGCACAGACTACAATGAAGAATGAATCCCCACTAAACCAACTGTACAACAAGTTGCAATAGTACAGCTTTAGTATAGCAAGTGACAGAGACCACTTGGTAATTTTAATCTGACGACTAATTAAGCAATTTACAGCATTTCATGCAGGCAGGTAGTATCACCTGAAGTCCCTGAAATATGAAATCCATACAGATTTCATTAACATTCCAACATACAACACATTACTGCAGAGAACTTGTTTCATATTGATGTTTTTATAATAATAGTGAATTACAAAAACGCTGTCTTTTGTGCTTGCTTTGGAGGATCTCAAAATTCTTCAATATATGCTTAAAAGAGACTTTGCAACTCCATTGTGATCCTGCTTGTATTTTTAAGTGAGAATATTAAGGTACAAATATGTTTACTGTATGTTTGCTACAGTCAACTACCACTTCAACAACAAAAGTTCAGTGCCAGTTGGGGCACAGATAGGATGCAGAGACCCCAAAAGTTTGACAGACCTATGTCTCTTCCTTTATTCTGGTATTCTCTAAACACATCAGTCACATGCCTGTGTGTCTACATAATGGGCTACATCTGGATACATTCACCTGTTTAAATACATGTATGTCCTACTGTTCCAGCTATATGCATTTTAGCACCACTTTTTGTTATCAGAGAGAGAACAGAAATAATCTTACACTGAGCACTAGCACCAAACATAGAAGCTACATGTAAAAATACAGTCCACTTTTTTTTTTTTTTCTATACTCGTTTTATCATTTTATACTTACGATGGAATTGTTCTCTGAAATCTACAGAGCAGAGCTCACCTCTAATACACTGTTCTTACGCTGTATGCAGAAGTCCCATTGATCTCACTGGGTGATCCACTCAAAGTGAGAGCTGCTTATTAGAGTTGAGCATCGATGTGCAGATCTCAGAAAGAAATTTTGTCCTTCAGACAGAACTATGATCAAAACATAAATTTAGGCCAAAAGGAAACAGGAGCATGTGGACAACGACTGTACTGGCACGAGCAAAGTACTAATTGCACAACATAGTTAATGTGAGTGCTGTGAAATGACCTTTACATTGCTGCATAGGGAAAATTTATCAGAGACACAAGGGCAAAAGATTTTCCTTATGTACAAAAGACATACACCAAATTGTGCTGTTCATTGCAACCAAGAGGTAGAAAAATAAATTACTGGAATAGTTTTCCTTTTTATTATTTGTCTACTAGTTACTATGTCCTCTTCTACTGCCTCCCTAGTATCCTACACACTCCAGTCTTTTTTTTAATCCTCTGCCTTGGGAATAATTAAACAGTAATAATCAACAGTAACTTTTATACTTATTACATCATTATGTATTGTTTTATAATGACAGGGAAAAAAAAGAAAAGTGTAAGTCTTTTTATGACTTATATTCCTGTTAATGTAGCTCTGCTGGAAGATGCGTTGCATAGACTTCCTACTCATATCTTTTTGAGTTAGAGCTTTCTAATTCAAAATTATTTGTCATAACTAAGCCAGGCTAATAGGTAATATGCTAAAGAGCTAATTATGAAGTGTCCAGTTTGCATCAGTGCCTATTTACTCCCTGATACAAAGCCTGCTGAAGAAGCAATATTCTTGCTTTTGATTTTGTTGGACTTAAAAGTGGAGAAATACATTTGACACTATGTTAACAAAGATCAACTTACCTTTCAAAAATTTTAGAGGCAATCATTTCCAAAGCTCTCTTGATAATTTTATTATTTTTTTTTTTTAATTTAAAAATCTGCCTTGAAATAAAATACTTAGGTGTCTTAATTCCAGTGTGTCAGTGCAGAGTACATGGCTGAGGCCAAGACTGCAGAAATTTCAGGTGATGGGTGTTAGTGAGAGCAAGGACATCTAGAATCAGAATATTTGACACTAAAAAAAAACCACATTGGCATACACAGAACTTCAAAGTTCCATGTTCAAACATTCTCTAAATACTGGAAATTCAGTGACAGGATGCTCCATTGGACTGCCACTATGTCTGATCCTCCAGTGTGATGATTCTGTTATATAGTGGCTGCTACTATCATAACAAGTTAAGAGGTTTTGATATCAAGTGTCAGTGCCTGTCAGTATTCCGCGACACTCTTCTGTTTACTACAGAGACAGTCTCTACCTAACCTCAGAGAATGACTTTTGAGAAAATTTTATGGAAAAATAAAGGACGTAAAGAATAAGAGCAGGAGTGAGGTCACAAAGTTCTAGAGGAGGTTCTGCTGTTCTTTCTTTTATCACCTTGAAACTAACATCTAGGCTAGTACAGATCTATCCTATCTTTGCCAGCTGACATTGAAAAAAAAAATAAAAATGGATCTTAGCTCCTACTGATGTTTCCCAGCTGTCATGTAGCCTGAAAATCATGACTTCTCAAAATAAATTCAATAAAGAACTGCTTTTAGTGGCCTTGATAAAGTGCCTGGGGTTGCTCTCCTGTTTGAGCCATTGCTTCTGGAACATGGAAACTCAAGACTCTCTAATGCTCTCACAGGTACAGAATGTTGACCAATTTACCTTGGTATGGAAAAAAAAAATTGATGAGAGGACCAAACTATGGCCATGGACCGAACAGAAGAGACTGTTTCTGAGGTGTGTTACTCTAGAAAGTGAGAAAATAGGAAAGGAACATAGTGAATTCTGACACTTTATTTAGCTTGTATCATTCAGGCTGATACAGTCCAAATCCTCCAACAGAACTGGAAATATCTGATTTTCAGGGCAAATCTCAGCAAATCTCTGATATAGCACCATACATACCACCAGGAAATTTCAGACTTAGCTACGCAGTTAAATGTAAATAGTAAATGAGATAATAAAATGTTATAATGAATTTTTTATTTTATTTATTTATTTATTTATTGTGAAGAGAGGTATTTTTGGCTTGTAGTTTTAGGAAATTATAAACTTCAGCCCTGTGTGTTCAGTAGCATCTAAGGGAACAGAAATAAAGCCAGACTTAACTGTAGATAAGGCAAAGGTAACACCTGCTATTAGAACCACAATTTCTCAAGAGCAGGATGATGTCTACATAAAGGACAAAGAAACATTGACTACTCAGGTATTTTAAGTGCTATAAATGCACAAGTATTACATAGCACAACTACAGCAGCAGAAGACTGAAAAAATATTTAAGCACATACCCCAAATTATTTTCTTTCTAGACTTACATTTGTATATTTCTCTAAAACTTTTGAAATGGATGATTTATGAAACCAGGAGTCCCATTGTGCATTGTATTTAACAAATCAAATTACTTCGCTGAAAACATGTCATTCTGGTGGATACTGACAAAAGCCATGGGCCATACTGAGCTAGTTTCAGCAAGAGCATAAAACGTTTTTCTTTACCCTTTGTCTCCACCATGCTCAGCTATGCACACCTACACCAACATCCACTGATGAACTACTCTCCCTATTCTAGTCTTGACTCTCTCACCCCAGCCAAAACGCATATCAGCACACACACATTCTTTCACAACAAGTCCTGCTATTAAAGACCATGTTTTGGTTGCCACTGTGATTCTTAACAATTAGAGTAATTATTTTATATTGTGATATAGTAAGCTACTAGGTACCAAGTTTTTCTTGGTCTGACTTTTTACTCTGGCTTCTATCCCAGCTTGTTGGAATTGCAATCCATACGGTAGATGAAGGGTTTAACTCAGTCGTACTGTAACAACCTCACCAGAAGTTAAGTCACCCAGGCCTGTGAGGAAGATGGTGTGGTGGAACTAGGCACTCAAACCTGCTTCCAACAACACTTCTTGCTCCCTCTGCTTCCCCAGCAACAGCCTCTGCACCCTCCCCAGGCCCTAGCAGCCTGCAGCCTGTGCATTAGGGAGATGCCAACTATTCTTTCCAGTGCTTCTGGTGTAATTTGTCCTCTCCTGAGAAAAACCTGAGTTTAACTCTCTTGCTATTTTAATAACGCTTGAAGTTTTATGATGGCAGCCATTAAATACAGTAAGCAGCAGTCAGTATGTTTATGAAATATATTCCTGGTATGCACTTCAAAGCACAAAGACAATGGCAGCCTCTCCTCCTGAACAAGGCACTGCAAGTGACAAATCTCTTTAAAAATTAACCTCTTCTCTCTGAAAAAAAAAAAAAAAAAAAAAAAAAAAAAAGAAAAAGAAAGAAAAAAAAGCCAGAAAACCCAGACCGATGACAAATACTTTAAGATCATGCATGGAGGCAACTTGAATAATTCACCGTACACTGAAAAAATGAACCCAAGATAGGAAATAATACTACTTCTTTCATTAACCACAGAGAGGAAAAACATTTTTTTTTTTTTTTTTAATAATAGAAAAGTATGCATGGTAACTTTCTAGAGATAGTAAAAAGATTCAAGTTATGCAGAAAGGCTCTTCCTATTAGTAATATGAGTAAACAAGTATAGGTATAAGATCTCTTGCAGAGTAAGGACTTGAAAAGGAGGCACTAGCAAACAGGAGAGAACAGCACGATAAATAATATCCACAGTATACGTGACAGTTTAAATACAGCGGGCACTGTTGCTCTTCACAGCCACCTTCTTGCAGCACTGAGAAACGCAGATGTGCCTGCACTGCAGGCATTCCCTGGGTTAACTCATCTTTAAGAACAGTTAGTGAAGAATAAGGATCAAAGAAATGGACATAACAATCATCCACCCTACTGGGCATCATACCAGCTTGCAGTTCTCCTTTTCCTCTTCTGTCCTATATTTCAGGGGAATAAAGCAATACACTTAAGCATGCCAGTAATTTCATTCACTCTGAGCAGACTGCTAAAACGCTCAAAAGCTCTTTCAAACACACACCCGTTCTTCCCTACAAATGACCAAATCATGGGCTGTGGAAAATAGTTTTGACTGCATTCTATATTGCTCCTCTCTTCACGCACAAATAGCTTCCTGTGAAAACACACTACAGTTATTATATCTTATCTCAGAAAAAAAGCCAACTTATCTACAGGCAATCCTATTTGGGTTATTTTATTATATTCGTATTTATGCATTTTAAAACCCCATGCAGTGCATAGGTCAGGCTCAGTAATGTCTTGGCTGCAGAGTAACAACAGCAGGACCCTCACTGGGACTCTAATTGCTAGCAGAACTCCTCAGCTCTCTTATATATATGTAATGCATGTGTGTTTTCTTGGTTAAATGCTGTCTTGCCTTTTGATCCCATTCCTGCTGATGTGGCTTAGTGATAATTATCTGCCCGTCTGGCCTACTGATATATATATATAAATGAATAGTACAGTTAAAGCCAGTTGGGAACTTTTATTTACTCTGACCTAAATTAATAGAGTAACGGAAATTTCAATGTAACTAAAAGGCAAGAAATTTAAAGCCAGTTTTTAAAATGACCTATAATTAATTTTCAAGCTTCAAAATCTATTGAGAGAAACCGATAAGATTTAAAATAACACTAGGCATTTAGCTCACCTCCAAATGATAGCTTTTCCAAATATACCAGTTATGGTGCTCCTACAAACTTCATGTGTGTTAGCATAATCGTCTCTGTCCCATATAAGGCAAAATTTGTATTTTGCTGAATTTGTCTTAGACCACTAATAAAACCAAGGGAAAATAAAATAACAATAAATAAATAAATAAATAAAATCACACAAAACAAACAAACAAAAAACCTTAATATACAGGTCATTATTTTTCTGATGTTAATTCTCTTTATTTCCTCCTACTCAGACCTTTACTAATAACTGGATAGCTAACTGTAAGTTAGATAAAACACTGGATTTGTGCAACTGTAGAAAATAAAATAACAGGCAGTTTCTGACACATGCAAGTTAGAGAGGAGGATAAGAAAGAATGAGATGGGAAAAAGAGGCAGAAAGGTCACTTACACTTCTGTTTTGATTCTGTATTTTATTACATTCTTCAGGTCTCTAGTAAGTTTTGCATCCAGACTCAATTCTGCCACTCCCACCCTGCCCACACGCCAGCCCCCA